TGAACTAGACTTCAAATGCGTTGCTCCATTTTTCTTGGAGTTGAATATAAACAAGAATTTGGAAATCTAAAAAAGAAACCTTGCACCCGACCATACACCACCCACACGTCAACTTCTAACAAAACTTGAATAGATTGTTAAATTTATAGATAAACACCTGTAAATTTCAATATGCGAGGGACGAATTTCTAGGTGCCAAACCTTTGGGGGAACTTTGTTTTTGTTCCAAGTTTTATGTTGACAATTTTCATCTTAGATTAAGGCATTTTTAAAGGGTAAATTATACAAAAATGTAACATATCTTTTGTTTAAGTTTATTAAAACCAATGAATATCTTATTTTGAATGATCAAGTCCCTGAATGGTTAAGTCTCTGGWTTTTTTCATCTTGTAATAAATAAGTCATCGAACTTTTAAAAATTGATTATCTACATTATTTTAGCAAAAAAAATCATCTGTAGCCGACTAGAAATGACTTAAAGTAAAAGAAACTTAAATCATTATCTTTTCCAAACCCTACACCTTTCAAACCTCTTTTTAATATATTTTTAGAGGCTTACAATTAGTTTCACTTTAAAATATATCTAGTCGGCTAGAGATAGTTCTTTTTTGGGTTAAATGATGTAAGTAACCACTTTCTAAAAATTCGATGGTTTATTTTATTGAGAATAAATTTGTTAAGGACTTAATTATTCAAAATTAGAAAATTTAATATTTTTTATTTAAAAAAATAGTTCAGGTATTTATTCATTTAAAATAAAAAAAAAATAATTTTTATTAAAAAAATAATTCAAAAACTTAATCATTCAAAATATGTTAATTCGTTGGATTTTCGTGAACTTTTTCGGTTAAAACATTGGATAATGTATTTTCCAAAACATTTATTTTAGTATTTGAGATACGATGTTTCAAATATTTAAATAGCTGAATTAATCATTTATGGGAAAATGAATATTTTACAACTTTACCCCCAAAATACCCCAACCCCCTATCGAACGTCGTCCTTCCCCTCGTCGCCACCACCTCACCGGCAACTCGACGTTCTTCTGCATCAGGTATGTTTCTGGTTTCAAACTCTTCTGCATCAGGTCATCATCGCCTCATCTTCTTTAGGGCCATTTCTTTTTAAAATCTTGACTTTCTGTGGTTTAGGCTTTGTGGTTTCTAGTAAGGAGAGCTTGAAGCAGTTCTATCGAATTGCAAATGAGTACCAGGTTAGTCAATTTTTCTGTGGTTTCCATGGTTTTAATTTTGGTTTAATCACATTTTTTTGTGAAAACACAAAACTTAGCATATGATTTGTCCTAAAAAACTGATAAGTTGTTTGCATTTCTATTATGGCCTATGCTTCTGTCGGATGGTATATTGAATATGTCATGCTCCCTTATCACATTCTCTTTGTTGCTTTATGAAAACACTATACATCAACCAAATATCCTGAAGCAATTTGAATCCCCCAGAACAGGGTTATAATCCCTTTAGTTGGGGACTGGAATGATTCCTGCAACACAAATCAAGGGCTTTGGTAAATGCCTCTTGCAACTGTTATCAAAATAATTAAACAAAAACTAGTGTGGGTGGTTCCAAAGCAATGATCACAATAATGAACCTAAAATAGTTTGCTTCATGTACATATTGTTTTATCATTAAACACCTTTACATACATAATAAGATCGGCCTTCCTTTACTTACAAATCTTGTCATGTTTTTCTCTTATGATGATTATCTAAACCTTTTTATGATTCTAACTTTGAGTTGCTCCGCTGTGGTTGCACATTGTGATTCATGTTGTCTTCATTGACCCTTAACATGTAGGCTTTATTGTACCCTTCTGTTTCTGTGAGCCTTTCTCCTAGCATGTTGACCATATATATTGTGGTATTTTCTTTTTTTGAAAAGGAAGAAATGGTCATTCCAACTCATAATGTAGACACATACAAATCATAGCAAGTATTTTGTCTGCTTTTCACTCTTCTCTTTTCCCACTTGCTTACCTCAAATCTATAGCTGCCTGAGAGTTCACTAGGTTTGCCATCACTTTTTACCAAATCTTGTGATGGTTATAGGTTTGACAGTAGGTTTCGACGTGGATTATCAATATCATCACCTCCTTCAACCATATGCTTTGTTCAAGAGTGGTGCATCTTAGGGCTTTACATTATTTCACGAGAGAAGCTTCATTAGCTTCGTTTTTTCTGTACCCTCATAACTTAAAAAGGTTATTAGGTAATTGACGTGGCCTTTTTTCTTGGTTGAAATTGAAGCAAAAGAAATGAAAGACGATGTTTATGTTGAGAAAGATGTGCATACAACATGTTGTGCATTTAAAATACAGTTGTAACACCTCATCGAAGATGTATAAGAAAAAGATCATTGATGTTCAAATTTGACAAAGATGGTTCAGAATGTATCCTAAATATGGAATTTAACATTGATTTAGCATTAACGAGTATCATGGGATTTCTTGTTTATAACTATTAGCATTGTTAGGACATCCGGAACTCAATTATGCTATTGCTCTTTTTTGTTTATAAAAGATGGTTGTGTTAAAWCATTTTTGTATAAATATTCAATCGTGGTCCTTATTTTGTTTATTAGTTGATGAATGTTTGTTAATATAGTTTTCAAAAGTTTCAATCTTTTTAAATTTATTTGACACTAAAAAAGTATTACAAATTTTACCACCTTCAAAAGAATAATTACCTTTACATGAAAATTTTTCTTCAGTCATAAAAGCTATTTCGAATTTTACAATTTTTTTTACAATTTTTAAGAATGGAAATGTACCATGACCAATGTGTATCAGCAGACCATATAATGTTAGTTGACAAGTCCATTTACTTAATATTTCCCATTCAATTGATCCGATTTTGAACTCTAATCATTTAGAATTGCGTAAGGTTGTAACTTATAAAAACCATATGTTTCATATCAGGCTTATGAAATCGTTCTTTTGACATGCTGCAGGATGACCTCAATGAGCTACATGATGAGAATCTTGCTTCAATCATGAGAAAAGAGAAAGCACGCGGGTTAGAGTTTTGGGAAAATAATTCGTAATTTGGCAGTCTATTGGTTGATATCACTATAACAGTTTTCATCGTATTTCTTGGTTTTTCTTTCTAACAGTAGCGGCTATTTTCATATGTATATATTCTCAGCACTCTACTAGTGCAATCATAAAAACATAGATGCTTTTTGTGTGTGCAAGAGYTATACATATTGGGGACCAAACAGCGTAGACCAGATAGCTCTCATTCAAGTTACTTATTTTATATCCTTAGTCCCTGGAGTCAGGATCATTCCTTAACGGAACACATATCCTCCTCGATATTACTTGGATACCAACTTTTCGCCATTTTGTTTGTGTACTCATGGAATATATTATGTGGTCCTATTTTGCAGATATTAAAGAGTAGTTTGAAAGGATAAATTAGGAAACAAATTTATAGGGAAATTGATAGAAATAGTCCACGAGGAAATATGGCTTCACTTTTCAACAATTTCCTGACCCAAATTCATTTTTTAATCAATCCTTACGCAAAAGGCTTACACATATGTGTAAAGATTGATTTCGGGAAAAAAAATTTAAGAAAAAGAGGTTTTTGCATAAGGATACAGAAACCTTACACACACAATAGAATCCTTATGCATATGGTAAGGTTTTTGGATCCAAAATGAAGAATAAATTTCAAAATCTCTAAAATAAAAATACATTCAACTACAACAGATTCTTTTTCATTGGGGAAACGTTAAATAGATTTTTTGTTTTCATTTATAGTTTACTTTTTATCTCTTTACATCGTACRATMWCACAACTAGTTTCAGATTATAATACATATGATATTGTTTTACCTTTGATTAAATCAGTAAACTATTTTTTTGAATGAAAAAACCATTAAACTTTTTTATTTGGATTGATTAAGTCTCTTATTTTTTTTATAAATAAAATAAACTATCAAACTTTTAAAAATTGGTTACATACGTCATTTTAACCCAAAACAAAGCTCTCTATAACTGACAAGGAAAGTTCAAAAATAAACCCAAATAATTTTAACGTTCTCATACATTATGACATTCAAACCCCAAACACCGAATCACTCCCCTCGTCGCTCCATCGTTGTCTACTCTCCATATCTCCTATCATGTTGTTGCCCCTGCCATTGATGATAGACAAAAACACTTATTGTTGCTTTCCACATACTCTTATATTATGACTTAAATATAAAGARACACGAAACATAGCTAATTAAATACAAAACAGAAGAGTGAATGATTAAATGATGTATCCGTGGTCTTAAATTATTTATTTGATACAGATGTTATCTGTCTTCAAAGTAAATATTAATGCTATACAAATATGAGTTTATGACCAACGTATAACACAAGGAAATAAACTAACTAATGAATTATTTCAAAGCTTTAATAACAACATGACTCCAAACATGCATATGTAGGATAATTCAGCATAGCTTCATCCCAACCTGCGTCATAACTAAAATTTCAGAAAAGAAAAATAACTAGCATTAATTTTGTTGACATTTATAGAAAAGAAAACATGCA